AGTGGTTGGATTCCCTTTCCCTGATGTGGCTCTGTGGGCTCTGCTCATGCATCAAGTAGTTGCAGGGCTGAAAACTGCTTCCTTTTCCATTTGGTTTGGCCTTCTCCCCTGAATTAGTCTGCATTTAATTGCTGAATTTTCCTCTAGCTGAGGCAGCAGCTACACCAGACAGATGAGTCTCAAGAAGGATGAAGCGTTGGCTCCTGTTCAGCTGGGCCAGATACAATATAAGGGACCTTTGGCACCCTCCTCTCTGTTACTAAGGCATAATCAATCTTGGAGTCTTTGAGGACATTTGTACAATGTTAAAATCTTTGGCTTTGGACTAAAGCTTTGTTTAGAAGTAGCATTGAAATGTTTGCCCAAATACAAAGGAATAAAAACTGTCAGAAGATAGATTGCACTGAGCTCACCTTCTGATCGTGCCCAGGACTGTTCTGTGCAGTGCAAGTTAAAGGCTCAGCTTGTTTGGAAAAAAAAAAAATTCCCAATCAGCCTGTCTTTGAAAAAGTTAATGCAGGTAGATCAGTTACTGTGTGATTACTTGTTGTTCTGGTTTCAGAGTATGGCTTTTACAGTGTGTACAGTATTTTAAAGACAGAACTGTTAAACTGCACGGTCAGCCAACAAAATAAATATATATTCAGCTTTTGGAAGAACTTAATTTTGCTTGCTAAACAGGCCTCTCTGCTTTTAGGAAATTATACTGATTGAGTTAACTTTAATGGCCAAAGTCTTAGATTTTATTGGTACCAGAGTTCCGACTGAAGCCCAGAACATTTTGATTTAAAATAAAAAAGTCTCCAAGCAACACACACCAAAATAAACCACAGCTGATTTCAGTAGACCTGGCCAGCTGGAGATCAAGTAAAGATGTGTAGTTTTTTGTGCATTTGGCACCTTAAGTGATTTATAATTTTGACAGGGAGGTGTCTGAAGGTGATACCTTTGGCATGTATTAAATGCTTTGGTGTTGCAGAGGAGTTTTCAATAGGGATCATTGTTTCTTTCCAAAATACTCATTCTTTAGACTCAAGTAGTACATTTTTTTTTCTGCTGTTCTGAATGTGACTTTGTTTTTGAAAGTGGAGCAAGATATTTTATCCTGGTTTTTATAATAACAGTAAGGATTTAAAGTCTGTAGTTTTTCTCACTTTAAAAAATAAGCTGAGCCATAGTTTTAACCAGCACTCAAGGGAAAAAGACTTGAATGGAAAAATAATGTACATAATAAGCAGAGTAATCCTTCCATCTGATCTGAAGCAGAAAACTAATTTGTTTTAGGAAAGCTATAAACCTTTTGGAATTGAAGCCCAGGCATGTACAGGTGAAAGTGTTCTGCTCTGTCAGTAAATTAATGCATAAGAAAATAGAATACAGAGAGGGGGGTCTTGGGATGCAGGTGCTTCACATCTGTGGCATAAAGTTAAGAGTCCTAGCAGAGGGCTCCCATGATGGTCAGGGCTGGAACATGAGGGAATAGAGAGCTAGGTTTGTTCAGTTGAAGGGAAGATTAAGGGAGGTCATACTGCTGTCTTCAGCTGCCTTTTGGCAGAAAATAGAGAAAGTGGAGTCAGATTCTTGCAGGCACACGGTGATACGCTGAGAAGCAACAGACACGAGTTGGAACACGGGAAGTTATCTTTAGATAGGATTTTTTAATTCACTTATTTTACCACGAGAGTAGTAGTAACTTTTTTTTTTTCTCTGGGGGTACTTTAAACTTGGCTGGATGAATCCCTTGTGTAGGGCTTCATCCTACATAAAAAAATCCTGCTTTAAAGGGTTGAACTAGAGGTTCCTCCAAACTAAATCATGAGTTAGGAAATGAGAGGCAGCTTGGGAAAAGCAGGTAAGAAAGTCCTAGAGGGAAATTAGCAGAATCTATCACTGAAATGATGCTCTTGGTAACTTTTCTTCCCTCTTTCACAAATGGTGCTTTTTCTCTGGTGTAAAGAATGACTTTGTTCCTAAACTTGAAGAGGAGTTTGCCCTTAAGGTTGTCTCCCTTTTGCTGATATGCAGAGCACATATGAGCAGGGGTGATTGCCACGGCACTGTGGGGTGCTCAGTCCCTCGGTCACTGCTGGGTCACTGTATTCCTCCCCTCTTTTTCTCCTCTTGGAGAGGGTATTCTTTATTAAGATGAAAGAGATGAGATATACTAAAATTAGTATCAGAGCTATTAAAGACATTAAGACATTACTAATGAGTTCTAATTTAATCTCAGCACCCAGGCATGTATAGTACTGAAAACTTTTATTAGGTTTCTATAATTGTGTTAAAAGTGATACCCTCAGGCTAGTTCTGAAGCCAGTGAAAGTGCCAAGCTGTGCATGACAGCACTGACTCGACAGTGCTGTGAAGGGAGGGGAGTTTGCTTTCAGTGCTCTGTGTTTTACATCAGGCTCCTTAACTGTCAGGGGCTTAGTGCTGTTTCTATTTAGGAGTGGCTTCTGTATCATTTTGGCTCTGGACCAAGGAAACCTAATCTTCAGGCTCATCGGAGGAGATAGCTGGGCGGGGAATCCCAGGAGTGCAGTTCCAGCTGAGATATCTGTATTCTTAAAGCTTTCTGGAGGAGACGCAGGTTCCTGAGGTTCAAATTGGGAGCACCAGGCACAGCACTGATAGCCAGGGAGAGCTTCCTGGCCAGGGCCAGCACACAGTCAGCATGGAGCACTTGATATTTCAGACCTTTTTGATACAGAGCTTTGCAAAAGCCTTCCAAACAAAAAATTCAAAGGGCTGCTGAGTAAGGAGAAGTGCTCTGAGTATCAGCAGCCTGGCACTGCAGATGCCAAGTAACATTTACATCCCCTCTGCTTGGACACCTGATTGTGCACTGAGTTGCTCAGCAGCCTGTACTATAATTTCACACATGCTTTGTGGTGCCAGCTCAGAGAAGTGGTCCTTCCCCGGCCCCCAGTTCCTTGTGACAGAACAAACGTGTTAGGGGGTGAACTGGATCAGGGAACCCGCCCAAGTTAAAATTAGCCTGACCAAGAAGCTAATTTCAACCTCGGGCAGCTTCTCTGGCAGGCGGGAACAGAGGAGTGCGCCCAGCTGGTGACAAGTGCAGCCTTCCTGCTGCTGCTTTTGGCAGCCTGCTGGTTCCTACCAGAGCACAATGGTCTTATCTTGGGCTTTCAGCGGGGTCTGGGACTGCAGATCTGACTGGGGAGACTTGTTGTTTCCCATTTTTGAAATTAGACTGAAGCGTAAAACAAATCCACCTCCAGAATGGTATCCTGAGTTAGCTCAGTCTGTGACAACTTTGATGTTTGTTTGTAAACTGGTACAAAAATGTGGTTAATTCAGATATTTCCCTTTGCTTTTGACCTTTTTGACACAAATTAGCCTCACTTTTAAATGAGAGTTGCTATAAACTGGAAACAACATTTTCAAGTCGAATGAGATGTTTCAGCCAGCTTGGTGTTTTTATTTTTTTTCCTGACAAGGGAGATTTACTGAACTCCTCTCTGCGGGTTTGGTCTCAGTTAGCTGCTGATGACCTGGAGCTGGCTCTGAGCAGTGCCTGGTCGTTTGGGTGATTCTACAGATTTTTCAGTCTGCATCCTCTTGTTTTCAGTCCTTGTCAGTTCTGTGTGGAGCATTGTCATGTGTTAACCTGCAAGGCCAGGTGTGAGGATTAGTGCAGTGTGATTGTTCATTAATGTTTCTATCTCGGGGCTTGGCCTTAGTGCTCTGCAGTGGCCTGAGTGAGAAATGCTGAGGAGGAATTATGGCCTTTTTGAGGACTGGGGCTGTTTCCATCTGGGAAGGGGACTGCTAGTGGTGTTAACAGTGGTTTAGAAGCAGAGAGGGTGCAGAGAGGTGGCAGTGTGGGCACAGGCCAGCTCCAGACCTGGTGCAGGGAGGGTGCTGGTGTCTCAGCACTGCTTTGGGTCCAACCCAGCTTGGCCCTCTGTGTGGCACTGGCTTTCCTTGGAAAGGCTGTCTCCTTAAAGCTTGAGAGATGGGCTGGAGGTGGACACCTGCAACCCCGTTCCCTCAGGACCACCATTTCTGCCTCAAAGTGGAGGGAAAGAAGTGCCTGACACTGTCATGAGACTTCCTGCTGGGATGTTCCTGTTCCACTGAGAAATTGCAGTGGAAATATCTGCTTTTTAATATCGTGTGACTGTTTTGGCTCTCGTATTTTCTATGTGCCTCTAGTTTATTTAATAGTCTCTTGCTTTCTTTCATCCCCTTCTTAAAACATATGTTTGTGAAGCACCAGAATATACTCATCTGCAGTCTGTACCAGATCCTTTCTGGCACCTGTAAATCCTATGGTGTAGAACAGATAGACCCTAAATGTCCATTCACAACTCTGTGTGATGTGGGTTTCCTAATTAAGGGTACTAAACTTAATGAAACATGTACAAAGATGGAATTACTTTTAAAAAAATAAAAACATCCTATAAAAATCAAGTTTTTTAATTGACTTTCAACTTCCTCTGTAGTTGCAAGGTGGGAGTGATTTCAATGCCTTTACAATTTTTTGGGGTTTTTTTTGGTGAGCTGCTTAGGAGTTCAAAGATTTTTTTTTTAAGCTGGTTCCCCTAGTGTAAGAGGTGAGTAGGTGATTCCTCAAGGCACTGTGGGGGTGGTGAGTATTGGATCCTAATTTGAGGCACGGTTATCACCCACATGTTCAAGTTTTGATACCTTTAGCACAAGGTGTACAGTGGAAATGTATCGTCAATAATTCTGTTGTCCTTGACTTTGACTGTGCTCAGATGCTTTTTCTGCCCAGTGCTCTTAACAGTGTAAAATAACTTATTAACTGATAATGTGATGTTACCCAAATTTAGATGAAATGGTCATAAATTTATGTTCTTGTGACAGCAGCTGAGTTTCACAGTGTCGTTCCTTGCGGGTTTGGTTTTGTTTCAGAATCTGAAACATGGTAGTTCTGACATTAAGAAGCATTGTTTTTATGGCATAGGTTTAAAAGGTTTTCTAACTGCTGTGTTTTTCTTGTTTGCTTTAAGAGTCAGATTTACAGATCTGTCAACACAGGGCACCAACATGTTGCACCAAAAAAATGGAAGAAAGCTACCAGGCCGCTGTTCGGAGAGAGAGGACTCAAAGTATTCAGGCACTGAACTTCGAACTAAAGTACATGATTGTTGGTCATATCACAGCTTTTCAAGGTAGGAACTTTTGAGTAGTTTGTAGCAGTATTCTCTGCAATACAAAGGAAAAACTCTTACCTTTTATTTTTCATTCCTCTGGTATCGCATGCTGTAGTCACTGCCATATGGTTGACTTGCTTGTTCTTTGTGCTTTTGGAGAAAGGTAATGGCACTTAGTCTAGACTGATATTTCAAGCATCTGCCTAAATCTAATCAGGAATAGATTTAAACTTAGACCTTGTTCCTGGGCTTGGCATGGATTTTTTTTTAATGGCATTTTCAAGTGTCATTTTGGTGCCTGATGGCTGTACTTTTTTTTATCTTCCCTTGTGTTTTGCCAAATCATTTACAGGTGTAGAACATTAAATGAAGATGCATTTGCTTGTTGATGCTGAAGAGTAAGTGCTCGAACTGATGTGTCAAATGAGAGCACAGCTCTTGCTTCGTGTCAAAATGCTTTACTACTAACTTGCTCTAGCAGGGTCATGTCAGACTATGGAGTTTCTTCTTACAGGTGGTTATTGTGTTGTTACAAAGAGGAAGATGCTTGGGTAGGACTGTGCACTGTAGTGTTGAGCTCTGGAGACTTTTCTCCAGAAGGGCATTTAGATATAGGTTGTGACATATGTAAACATATGAGAGTTGAGTGATTAAATCAGTCATTGACTGGTGAATCCAGTTTACTGACTTCTGTGGGCCTAAGAATGTGCTAAATTTTGACTTGCTGCTTTGCTGTGTTTAGTGCTGAGTGCCCTGATGGAATAGGCTTTGAAAACAAACCAGTAGTTATTAAAATACAAAGTGTTGAGGCCTGTATGATTAAGCCTGTTGTTACAAGGCAGGTTTTATTAAGTAGCAGCTCTTTTTGTCTAGTTTCTTCCATTTGAGTGAAAATACTAGAAGTAAAAGGTGTGATTGACAGTTAAGAAGAGATAGCATATTGTCTAAAATTGACAATAAATGATGATGGAAATCTGAAAGAGACGTGCAGGGGCAAGATAAAATTTTTCTTCTGCTTTTGTTTTTTTTTACCTCTTTTTTTCTGTTTTGGACGAATGAGCGAGAAATGGCATTTTGGTTTATTTTACAATTAATTTTTGAAAATGTGTAATATTCCCCGTGATTAAAAAATTGGTTTGGAGGGCACTTCAGAGGAGCACTGTAGTGAAAGAGCGGCTGTAGGCATTGTTAAATGCTGGTTATTCATTCAAGCAATCTTTTAGTATTATGATTGAATAAAGATAAGGTCAGAATAGATTAACCTACCAGCCCCTTTAGGTCAAGCCAGTGGCTTTATTGTCCATTGCTGATGAAGCCTTTTGATGGAATGAAAGAGGTAGTTAGACATTTCACACAGTTTAAATTTACAAGCATTCTCTGGAAGTGGGTGAATAGGTTGTTTGTTGTAACTTGCTATGGCTGGCCTCCTGTCTACATTAGGTGGGAACACTTGAAAAATTTAACTTTGCTCTCTTGCTTTGGGAGCTGCTTTTGTTCTTTGGTTTTGTCCCAGGTGTCAGTGAAAAGCCTCTCTCTTTATCTTGTGCTGGATAAACATTCTGTTGCTAAGAGTGGTGCTGTGCAAGACATTTACTGAGAAGGAAGATCTTTGCATGGAATTAACTCTGTCCTTTTGGAGTGTTTTCGTTTGTTGCTATTTTGAATGATAAAGCGAGTGTGCCAACAGCACACTTTACAGTCCGAGAAAAGAGTATCCTGATATTAGAAGCTTTCAGACACCTTTCAGATTTCATGTTCCTTGCAGCAGAGAGAACTGACTCAGACATGCTAAAAAATAGTGTTTACTTGTACAGTTTTCATGCACAATTTATTTTTATATACAGAATTTTTAGTACTCTTAGTGTAGTCAAAGCAAAGCAGTAGTTAGCCTTGCTGCCTACTGCTGAGGAAAAAAAGTGTTAACTAATTTTTATGCACTTAAAGCAGACAATACCATTAATATTATACTCCTACTGATGAAATAATTCTTAAGAGTACTGTGGTATAATAAATGGATTTTCAGCTGTCCAGCTCTGAGAACATAGTGGTGGGAATTAAATTTCAGGGGGAAGAGATCAACTTTTTTGGAAGGGGGGACACCCAGAGAGAATGTTTTTTGTTTTCTTTTTGAGTTCTTATTTCCTTCTATGCTTTGATAAAAGTAAAAAGGCACTTCTGAGGACCTGCAAATGCCAAAAGTATTAATAATAAAAACCTTTCTCGTGTGAGTAGGAGTTTTGATATGAGTTGGGTTAAATATTGCCTCTGCACTGCCTCAGTGCTGTAGTTGGCTGTGGATATTTTGGTCTTGAAGAAATGTTGTTTTGGTTTTTCTTCTTGCAATTGAAAATGTTGTTTAAGTAGCTTTGCCCACAGCTGAAATAAGACAATTTTCACAGATTTAGATGTGCAAAATAATTAGTCTAAGACTTGATTAAGCTGCCACAGCTGTGGGCAGGCTTGTTGTATTTGGGCTAGTGCACAATCCATACATATGGACAACTTTAGCACTATGGTTCAACCCCACTGTTTCTTCCCATTTAAACTTTTCAATATTAGCAAGCCAGTCTTTGCCTGAACACTTAATAAATCAAGCTTCTGCTGGGTGTGTTTTGCTGGAATGCCTGTCTCCAGTGCTGTTGCTGATACATCTCATTTGAGTAGGAGGAGGCACATTGGCCTGGGCTGCCAAATGCCCTCCCCATTAGTCACAGGACAGGAAGAAGGGAGAGAGACAGGAATGAAATGGCCAGCTGGCTGCTTAGGAATTCATCGCAATCAGCTCTGGTGAAATCATACAGCGTCACAAAATCTTTGGTGTTTGGCATGTTGAATGTAACCAGGCCCCTGGGGGAGGGTTTCATGGAAAGCTGCTGGATTTACTTTCTCTTCATGTTTTGGTCCATGGTGTAGCCTAAAAGCCATAGCCATGGTAAGTCACTCGACAGATGTGTGATTCTCTGCTCCAAATGGAGTCACAGGCAAAGTGGAGTAAGTGCAGGGAGGTGTGCAAGTGTTCCAGACTGTAACAGGAGCAGTGTAACTGAGGACATTGTGCCTGTTGTAACGATACCAGCGTGTCTCCCTCTGGCTCTACACAGGGGCCTTTGTTTGGATGCATTTTGGACCCGGTCAGTCTGTCCCATCCAAAGATGTGCCTGCCTTTCTGTCTTTCTCCTGTGGCTGCAGCCTGAAAGGCCTAGGAGGCCTGTTTAAATGGATGACAAATGGGATGCTTTCATTTTTTAAGTGGTTTCCCCTTCGATAACCCGAAGATTCTCCTTTAAACTTACTGCTTTTTGCCCCAATATTTTTTGAAGCTTGCACATAATCAAATGCATTGTTTTAGATTTATGTCTTTGTGGTGATGCTACATATTACTTGGCACAGCCATCCTTCTGCTAACCCTGCCCCCCCCCCCCCATTCCCTTATGCAGTCCCTGCACTCCTTGGGGCACTTCCAAGTAAGGCAACTAATTCATTGTTAGTGGATTAGAAGTGCTGTGGGTGTGCAGGCTGAAAGTTGCTGTCAGAAGAGGTATTAATGGTCTGACAGGAAGGCTTTGTTGGGAGCAGACAACAGAGAGAACCTGGCCTCTCTTTTCTGTGTCCTTTATGTGGTGCTAACAGGTGCCCCTAAAGGACCCACAGATAGCTTGTCTCTGCTCCTGTCATCTTATGCTGAAGCTAATTTGAGGTAATGAGAATCCAGATACCGGTAATTTATTTGTTCTGCTGATGGTCTCTGCGGAGGGACAGAACAAGGTACTTTTAAATGTACATCACTTTTCAGTCACCAAATTAGCAGCTGTTGGAGATAGTGGTGAAAAACTTTGAGCTCAGGAATTCAAAAAAATTACTGTTCTTTGCACTTGTTTTTTACAGCAAGGAACAGGAATTGTTCACTCAGCCTCTTAAGAGAAAGCTTTCATGAATGAAAATACGTTGGCCATAAAGCACTAATTTTGTCTTGTTTCTCTGAAATAGCATTCACTTGACCTTAATGAAGGTGGCGGGACCAGGTGTTCTCATGTTCTCACAGCTATAGGAGGGAAGCTTTGTAGCACTGTTCCTCTCGCTCCAAACCCAAGGGATTTGACAAAGCTGTGCTTACCTTCTGCTTTCTATGGAATGGGGAATGATAGTTGGGAAAGCACCTTGTTGCAGTTTCTAATAGCTGGAGTTGCCCTGACAATGTGGTGCTTGCACATTGTTTTGGCCTGATCCAATAAAGCAACTGGGAAGGACACAAATGATATGGAGAGGGCAGTTAGTTGTAGCAGGGATGGAGCCCAGGACTGCTGGTTGTCAGTAAAATGCCTGGAAGTTAATGCCCAGTTGATCCATAAAGTCCTTAAGCGCAAAGTTTTTCGTATAACATCCTGCATGGGGAATGGGAATGACTGTCTGGTTTCTGTGGGTCTTGGGATGGATAACATTAGTGAACCCAGTAATGAACTGCCCTGAACTTTCCCAGAAATAAGTAATATGGTACACTGGCACTCAGAGCTATGCAGAGTCAAATACAGTCTCCATTTTCATTTGACTCAGTTGCAGTGTTGCTCATACTTACTTTTACTGAATTTAGGAATATCAGCTTGGAATAGGGGTGGCTGGTTAATGGTGTTGAAGTGCTGTGACATTTACAAAACAAAGACTTGGCTGAAGAAGCACACTCTGGCTTGAAGTAAATTACTATATGAAGTGTAGTCACAATGCTGGAGATGGATGCAGTCCAAAATCAACGAGCTATTTAAAAAGCAAAGCCAACCATTGCCATCAGAAACCTGCCAACCCTCACCACCAGTGCTTCTGGTTTCTGTTATTTACTGCTGGATTATAGAAATGCAGAAGTGTTGTTTTTTAAATAGTGTTTTGTAATCCCCTACTACTTGGTCATTTATTCAGCCAAATTGTTACCCACCCCTTTCCACTTGTCTAACCCTGCTGAGCAGAGTTTTGTACTCTGCTGACCTTAGCTCTGAAAGTTGGCTGGGATGTAGAATTTGGTTTGGGCT